TTTATTTTTCATACACTACATAGCAGTGAAAGTTCCATGAGCCATTTGTTTACTTCCAGCTACTCAGACATATACATAGACCCCATGCCTGATGAACTGGGAACACCACCCAGCAAAACTATAGTTGCACGCCAAAAACGTATATGTATATGTATATGTACTAATTAATACATACATACATATATATATATAGATAGATAGATAAACCTAGTGAGCCAGACAAACCTACCCAGGTTTCACCTAAGTGGATCGTCAGAGCCAGCTTTCCCTGACAATTTGCTTTGGTGAAACCTGGGTAGGTTTGTCTGGCTCACGAGGTTTATCTAAGTCTGCTCTACCGTTGTATTGAGCTCTTTTGTTAGTTAGTTGTTTACTCGTGTGGGTTTTTTTTCTTTGGGCTTTAAACCTGTATCTGTGCGATGTTTTCAACAGACTTTCATGTTTCTAGCTCTTTCTTTTTTAAAACCTTTTTTCCCCTCGAGATTGATTTGATTATTGGCAAATAAAAATTCGAAGGTTTTTCAAAACGAGTATAGTTACCTATATTTGTGTATATATATATATATATATATATATATATATATATATATATATATATATATATATATATATATATATATATATTTCATGTGTTAAGAAAAATTTTACAAATTTCAACTCTTTTATCACCTCACAATTCTTCATATCACCCATTTTCAATGTGACAATTTGATTACATTTTGTTTGAGTCACCATATTTAATAACTGTGAACAATAAAAGAACCGAATTCTAGGAAACTTTGCAAAAATTTTGAAACTGTTTTTACAAATGTTTCAGTTTATGTTTAAATAATGAGTAAATATTTATGCAGTACTTGGTAAGAAAAATACATAACAAAACTGGCCAAATTTTATACTATTGTCAAATTTTATATAATTACCAAATTTTATACTATTGTCAAATTTTATAAAATTACCAAATTTTATACTATTGTCAAATTTTATACAATTACCAAATTTTATATTATTGTCAAATTTTATACAATTACCAAATTTTATACTATTATCAAATTTTATACAATTACCAAATTTTATACTATTGTCTACACTGGCTTAGGAATAATTCTAACTTAATTTATAGCACAAATGCTAAGGACCAATGTAAGTATGTCTTGAAATTATGTATTTGCATTGAAAGCAAGTAATTTAAGTTTCCTGAAAATATATATTAGCATGTTAACAGTAGCGGATGTAATAATCTAGACTGCTACAAGGGCACAAATTTATTTCTTCTTTAAACCATTATATATATATTACTTTTGAATATATCGAATAGTTTAATGCCATATTATATTTACAATACTGATGTAATGGAATAACCTGTTACCCCCATTAGTGACTACACTATAGGTAGTAACTACCTATAAGTATCTGTAAGTCAACAGACTACAGAGTCTAGCTGGGATCTGTTCCAGCTAAACGGTTGAACTCTCTGCCTTCGGGCAGAGAGGAACCCGGACAAGGCTCCACTAAAGGGCAGAGTCTCATTCAGGGAGGTAGACTGACCCTGAACCTGTTTATGTGGGCTCAAAAAGAGAATATTTTGGGCTGATCCTACAGGCTTGGAAAACCCATATTAAACTAGCCTTGTGCCAACATGCAACCCTCGTGGGGGGTGGGGTAGCTAAATATACTAGCTGGGATCTTTTCCAGCTGTGCTGGTTGAACTCTCCGGACAGAGAGGAACCCAGACAAGGCTATGCCAAAAGGCAGAGTCTCGTTCAGGGAGGTAAACAGACCTGATCCCATTTATGCAGGGTCTATGGGGATTTTTTGGCTGAGCCTATGGACTCTCGGGAACCCCACATTAAATTCAGCCTTGTGCCACATGTGACTGTGTGGGGTAGTTGATAAATACACTAGCTGGGATCTGTTCTAGCTGTGCTATCAAACTCTCTGTCTTTGAACAGAAATGATCCCCATATCAGGCTGTGTCGAGGGGCAGAGTCTCATCTCAGGAAACAGCTACCCAACCCCTTTTCATACAAGGATTTATTGGCTGAGCCTACGGACTCATATACCCCACATTAAATTCAACCCTGTGCCACATCTGATTGCATAGAGAGGTTAGTAAATACTCTAGATGGAATCTTTTGCAGATGTGCTGGTTGAACTTTTTGCCTTTGAGCAAGGTGGATTCCCAGATGAGGCTATGTCAAAAAGCAGAATCTCATCTCGGGAAGCAATTACACTACCCTGTTTTATACGGGGTCTACAAGGAAATTTTGGCTGAGCCTATGGTCTCAGATTACCCCTATATTAAATTTGGCTTTGTGACACATCCTCATGGGAAGGCTGGTAATTATTGACTGGGATCTGTTGAGTACAACTCAGAATTACATGAGAAGTACCGACCTTCCAATAGTAGCACTCACTACATGATTGACTTGCAACGACCTTGTACATAACTGATATCCTTTATTCTTATTGTACTGATTTTTACAATAAACCTTTACTTATTTTATCCACCATGTTTTTCAAGTATATATTCCTATTAGCACGGAATATAATAAATACCATATCATGGTAAATGTATGACTGAACAAGGTTATGAAAGAGATTTGCTAAATATCAAAGGAGCGAAAAAACAATAAGCTCTGATTGTCTACATCCTGAATGAACATCGTGCACAAAAAAAAAGAATCGAAACTTAATATAACAAAATCTCACCTTCCCTTTGTTTTTCCACATGCTGATACGTCCCAACCATAAAGCAAATCTTTGATCAGAATGTGGTGGTACACATTTGAGAGTTTATACATTTGTGAACCAGTCTGGTACAATAAATGGCATTGATATAGGAGTTTAGATTTGACAAGGCTATTAAAGAACAGGATTCAAGGTTTCAGGTTAATATTTGGGCTTTTGCCCATTCACTGATCATGCATTCATTATAACATACCCAGAGATAAAATACATATGCATGCCTGGCTGGTAACATTCTACAGCTAAACCATCCTTGCTACATTGAAAACAATCATACCTTCCTTTACCACTTGGTAAGGCAGAGGCTAGCACATTTGGATACATGTTTATATATATATATATATATATATATATATATATATATATATATATGTGTGTGTGTGTATAAAGGTAAAAGACAATAGGAAATCCGTATTATTAGCTGATGCTTTTCATCCAATGTGGAGTTTTTCAAGGCAAAAACGAAAAAATGGATAAAATGTGTTGGCCAATAATAGTTTTCCTATTGTATTTTACCTTTATAGATACTGTCTTTTTCTACAGGTTAACTCTGAAAAATTTTTCATATATATATATATATATATATATATGTATGTATATATATATAAAACAACTAAAAATTTGCAAATTAAAAAATAATAATGTTTTTTTTATGAAAGTATTTATTTATATTTGATATTTCAGATTGACCTCAATCTTTCCAATCTTTTTAATTTGCAACTTTTTAGATGTTTTTCTATATATACATATTAAGAAAGTATATGTGGCTTCTCATTATGCTATATATATATATATATATTTACTTCCACCATTGTTCTTTCTCTCACTCTCTCTCACTCACTCCTCTTACTCTTTCTCTCTTTCTCGCTCTTTCTATCTTTTTTACTCTCTCTTTCTCTCACTCTCTCTCTTTCTCTCTCTCTCTTTCTCTCTCTCTTTCTCTCTCTCTCTTTCTCTCACTCTATCTCTTTCTCTCTTTCTTTCTCTCGCTCACTCTCTCTCTCTTTCTCTATCATATGCATCAGGACTTTTTTCATATATATATATATATATATATATATATATATATATATATATATATATATATATACTTCCACCATGGTTCTTTCTCTCACTCTCTCTCTCTCTCTTTCTCTCATTCTCTCTCTCTCTTTCTCTATCATATGCATCAGGACTTTTTCATATATATATATATATATATATATATATATATATACTTCCACCATGGTTCTTTCTCTCCTCTCTCTCTCTCTCTCTCTTTCTCTCATTCTCTCTCTCTCTTTCTCTATCATTATGCATCAGGACTTTTTCATATATATATATATATATATATATATATATATATACTTCCACCATGGTTCTTTCTCTCTCTCTCTCTCTCTCTCTTTCTTTCTCATTCTCTCTCTCTCTTTTCTCTATCATATGCATCAGGACTTTTTTCATATATATATATATATATATATATATATATATTTACTTCCACCATGGTTCTTTCTCTCACTCTCTCTCTCTTTCTTTTTCTCTAACTCTCTCTCTCTCTCTATTGTATGCATCAGGACTTTTATACTTGAACTCTTAAAGCATAAACTTTACCCTTTTCCTTCTGTATATCTATATTGTGTTACATAAAGACATATTTTCTATTCATCAGCATCATTCCTTTTCCTTTTAACCGTTCCACAATGCGGATATCCACCCAAGACTAACATACTGATGCATAGTGGCAATGAATACTGTCATAAGATAAAGAATTCATTTTTAATAGATAACATCTTAACCTGCCGTGCAGCTAATATTAAAGAAACAATTCAGGAGATCAGAACAATAAGTCTGGTTGTAGAAAAAAGTCAATTCTACCATCAGTGGGACAAATATTTGAATCACCAGCTGGCACCATTATATTCAGCAAGTTAGATGTTAACATGGGTTACTGGCATATCCGTCTAGCCAAGGAGTTGGCTAAGCTGACCACATTTATGAAACTTTCTGAGAGATATTTCTTCAAAAGGCTCACCATTTGGGATAGCCTCAGCTCCAGGACACTTCCATTTCAGGATGGCCACAGAGGTCACCAAAGAAAATTAAAAACATCGTAAAGCAAACAGTAAGCAATATAGAACACATTCCTAAGAAACAAACTAAACACAAACCAACCATGAGACAGGAAAACACAATCTTGCTATGTATCTATGATATCTTACTAATCTATCTATCTATCTATCTATGAATTTCATTCTCTCAGTAGCCACCAATCTATGTATATAATATCTATCAATACAAGACAATTTTTATCTCTCTATATTAATCTGTTTGTGCCTCTTTCTTTATATCTATCTATCTATCTATCTATCTATCTATCTATCTATCTATCTATCTATCTATCATTTCATTCTCTTAGTATCTATATAGAGAGCTATCTATTCAAAACAATTCTTATCTATCTTACTCTGTTCCTGTGTGTTTCTTTATATCTATCTATTTATCTATCTATCTATCTACCTATCTATCCAAAACAATTCTTATCTATTTTAATCTCTTTCTTTCTTTTTTCTTTCTTTCTTTTTTTTCTTTCTTCCTGTCTGTCTGTATATATATATATCCAAGACAATTCTTGTCTATTTCTTTCTTTTTTCCTTTCTGTCTAGCTATCAATTGATTTTCTTAGTACCTATTAATCCATCTATATAGCTATCTGTCTATCCAAAACAGTTCTTATCTCTATCTATTTCTGTCTGTTTCTTTATATCTATCTATCTATCTATCTATCTATCTATCTATCTATCTATCCAAAACAATTCTTATGCATTTTAATCTCTTTCTTTCTTCTTCTTTCTTTCTTTCTTTCTTCCTGTCTGTCTGTATATATATATATATATATATATATATATATATATATATATATATATATATACAGACAGGAAGAAAGAAAAAAAAATGACCTCTATTGGCCATCCTGAAATGGAAGTGTCCTGGAGCTGAGGCTATCCCAAATGGTGAGCTTCCTGTCTGTATATATATATATATATATATATATATATATATATATGTACAGACAGGAAGAAAGAAAAAAAAAGAAAGAAGAAAAAAAAGAGAATTGTCATATATATATATATATATATATATATATATATATATATATATATATATATGACAATTCTTGTCTATTTCTTTCTTTATTCCTTTCTATCTAGCTATCACTTGATTTTCTTAGTATCTATTAATCCATCTATATAGCTATCTGTCTATCCAAGACCATTCTTATCTCTCTATCTGTTTCTGCCTGATTCTTTCTTTCTTTTTCTTTCTTTCTTTCTTTCTTTCTTTCTTTCTTTCTTTCCAAGACAATTGTTATCTATCTATATTTGTTTCTGTTCCTTTTATTTATAATCATTATCACCCCATGCAAGACAGTAAAGCCACTAAGACACAAGAGGTTACAGGGTGTGAAAGAATTAGGAACAGAAACACTGATAATAAACAAGAAGAGAAAAGAGTAATCAGGAGGATATAAGATAGCGATTAACATCTGCCAGAAAGCAGAGAAGGGAGTTCCATAAGCAAAGAAGTGCAATCAAAAAAACTGTTAACATAGAATTTACGGTTACATCTAACCAGCTCAACTATATATTGATATATTATCTTGATCCCAATCTAGTACTGTGCTTAAAATTAAAAGGTCTATGTACCATAATGAAGAGCTCGTCCGAACAATTACCGTGAAAGTATTTATAGAAGAGCTACCAGATCAATATCATTAATATTGCTGATTCTTCTTTGGATCTTATCAAGGAGCTAAGGGTAAATAGGAGGGGCATCACACCACATGTGGCAGCAATATTCTAAACAAGGACTAATGGTAGGCTTATAGATATGTAAAATCATACTTATTATAAAACCCAGGTTGTGTGTGTGTGTGTGTGTGTATGTTCGTTTATATATTGGATCGGATTTCCTACATTTTTCAACCGATTTCAACAAAACTTCATAGGATTGCGTAAAATTACCTTGCGGTGGTTCTGACAATGCCAAAAATTGGAAAAACACAATTGTTTTTGCACGAAATCAATTTAAAAACACGATTAAGAGGCATCGCTGTTGCGAAAATGAAAGCGACACAACTCATATCGAGTTATACTTATTATAAAACCTAGGTTGCTTGTGTGTGTGTGTGTGTGTTTGTTTATATATGGGATCGGATTTCCTACATTTTTCAACCGATTTCAACAAAACTTCACTTTTTTTGGCAGGTAGTGTTTCTTATTTTATTGCACACTTTTTTCTTTATTTTTACATTCAGAATGCTTTAAAAATTCCATTTACAAGACAATTATTTATAATAAAATTCTATTCAATCGGTAGACTCATAACGATTGAAAACAATATTTTTGTTTGAGTTTGGGTTTGACCAATTCATAAAAAACAAAAAAATACAAAACAAAACAAAAAAAAACTAATTAAGACATGCGTGTCCGTCAACCTTAAACAATAATCTTTGTCAATTTTATTTTTCAGTCTTTATGATGGTCAATACTTGATCTATCTGTTACTGTTACATCCCCGGGCAACGCCGGGCTCTACTGCTAGTAGATTCTAAAGAGAAAAATTGTCTCACACGATGCAGTGAACCAAATTTCTAAGCAGCTGACCTAGCAATGGATTCAATGTAGTCTTTCAACTTCATGTCAGCTAAGAACTTTAGCTCAATATGGTGCAATGAGTCACTTTCCTGGTTAGCATCAGCCATTCTAACTGTCCCTGTTGGCCCATATCTAGCCGGCTTGCTAGCTAGCTGGATATCTCATTCTTTTAGTATCTGTTTATCTAATTCATTCCCTTCATATCTATCTATCTATCTATCTATCTATCTATCTTAACCTGTTTTTCAATTCTGTTTCTTTCTCACTGTTGGCATCCTTCCAAGTTGAATGACTGCTTAAAATGTGCTTCATCCCCAAATTTGTAGAGAAAGCATAGAGATGCATGCTGGGATTTCTTCCTAACCAATAAGATAGAGCACTTCTTGGTTTCATCTGCTATATCTTTGTTCTTTTATGTAAGGAAGTCAGAATGCTATAATCACGTGACTGTATCCCTTTACCTCTTAGCAACATTTTTTGTTTGCGAACATTTTGACTGATTACTATTGCTTTACCTAGTTTTGTCTTGCATATATAAATATTGTTCACATAGTATTATTTGGCCCTGTTCTTTCTTTTGGCATTGTTCATTGGAAACTTTAGTAATTCAATTTTTGGGGTACTTTTGTCTATCTATCTATCTATCTATCTATCTATCTGTATAAGAAACAAAGAACGAAAGAAAGAGACAGGAATAGATTAAGATAGATAAGAATATATATATATATATATATATATATATATATATAGAGAGAGAGAGAGAGAGAGAGAGAGGAATAGATTAAGATACATTATATATATATATATATTCTTATGTATCTTAATCTATTCTTGTCTCTTTCTTTCATTCTTTGTTTCTTTCTATCTATCTAGCTATCTATCTTAATATGTCCCTTATCTATCTATCTATCTATGTATCTATCTATCTGTCTGTCTGTCTAACTGTCTATCTATCATTTCATTCCCTTGGTATATATCAATCCCTCTATATAACTATCTATCGAAGAAAATTCCTATCTTTCTCAATCAGTTTCTGGCTGTTTCTTTATATCTATCTATATATCTAGATAATATAATAGATTAAAATAGATAAGAATGATATATATATATATATATATATATATATATATATATATATATATATATATATATATATATATATATATATATATATATATATATATATCTTATCCGTCTTAATCTATTCCTGTCTCTTTCTTTCATTCTTTGTTTCTTTTTTTCTATCTATTTATCTATATTTCTTTATATGTCCCTTATCTATCTATCTATCTATCTAGCTCACTAACTAGATATGTAGTTATTCTAATCGTAATCTGTTCATAAGTCAGTTTCTATCTATCTATCTATCTATCTATCTATCTATCTATTTCATTCTAATATCTATCTATCTGCCTATCTTACTAACTAACCCATTTTAATTATATATATATATCCCTGTATTCCATGTTTTTATCTCAGTTACTTCTCACCTATTAATCTATGTTTTCAAAAGAAACTCCACACTTATATACCCACACAGAAATAGAATTTTTTTTTTTTCTCTGCTAAATCTCATCCTGTTTCTACCTATATACCTTTTGGCACCTGTTTCATTAGAATCCATTCATATCAACATTCTTTAGACTTCTCTTCCAGGTGACAATAATCCAGGTCTGGAAAACAGTTCCAAGAGATTTCACTACGCACAATTCATTCGGCTTCAATGTCTCCCATTAAGCAAACAAAACCCTCATTTCTTACAGCAAAATAGCCTTGTCTTTTTCATTGGCCTCACCAACTCATATTTTAAACGAAGAACTTGGCAAACTCCCCCTCTTTCAGTCTCTCTCTGAAAATTCTGACATTCAGGAACAAAAAAAAAAATGATGAAAAAAAAAATTTGGTTAGCTACAACCTCCTTTAAAATCATAAATATTTAACTTTGGAACTGGAAAAGAAAGGAATGTTTAGCTAAGGATATAAATCGCTCGACAAAATAATAATACAAAGCCCAAGAGCCACTCAAGGTAGAGGAGTGTTACAGCCATATCATGTTGCAATGTTTTTCTCATACAATCACCCAAGTTAAGCAACATTGAGGCTGGTCAGTGATAGCTTAAGAATACCAGGTGCTGTAAGCTTGAATGTGCAGGTGGTGTAATGAATAATGGCTCAGAATTGTTAATCTGAGAACAGAGTTCCAATTCCAGTTGGGTTTGTTATATTCACTTATATGCAAATACTCTTGGAAATGGTATGAATCCACCGCTTCTCCCTCCAGCTATGGGTTAATTAGTAACACTTGAATCACTGAAACCATTATCTCAAAATAAATAATAAAATGGTGTACAAAATATTTAGATTGAGTATATTTAAGCACATTTAAACATTGTATGAACCATGTCTCTACATATTCAATCATGGCTCTTCACAAATTCCTATTCCTTGGGGCTCTTAGCAGTTTTTCTTCCCTTGTTATCAATATATCATGCAAGGGTTAAGTTTTCCAAGTTCTCGTTCCTCATCATGAGTTCCAGAAATTCTAGATGTCTGATTCTGATTTTGAGGATGAGTGTTCTTTTTGTTGCTCTTTTATTTAAGACTTCCTCATTGCTTACAGGCACCATCCATGGAATTCTCAGCATCCTTCTGTAGAACCACATTTTTGTTGCCTCATCTGTAGTGAGATTGTCCTTCATCCACTGGTATCATATAGTGATCCATTGCTTACTTGCACCATACATGGAATTCTCAGTATCCTTCTGTAGAACCACATTTCTGTTACCTCATCTGTAGGAAGATTTGACATTATTCACTAGTATCATAAAGCAATCCATTGCTTACTTGCACCATCCATGGAATTCTCAGTATCCTTCTGTAGAACCACATTTTTGTTGCCTCATCTGTAGGGAGATTGGCTATTATTCACTCGTGTCATAAAGCAATCCATTGCTGACTTGCACCATCCATGGAATTCTCAGTATCCTTCTGTAGAACCACATTTTTGTTGCCTCATCTGTAGGGAGATTGGCTATTATTCACTAGTGTCATAAAGCAATCCATTGCTTACTTGCACCATCCATGGAATTCTCAGTATCCTTCTGTAGAACCACATTTTTGTTGCCTCATCTTTAGGGGTATTGTCCATCATTCATTAATATCATATAGCAATCCAGAACTCTTTTCTTTGTTTCTAACAAAGTTTTTTTTTTCTGTTTTTCAATACCGTCCTTAAAATTTGGAACAACTCTTTCACTAGTCCAATGCATATTTCGGGCTTCACTTTTACATTTATCCCCATCTTTTAAAACACTTCACACATATTTAAATTTCTGCACCTGTTTGATTTTTATATAGGAATGGGTTCATTTGTAAGACATGTATCTGTAAAATCATTATCAACTCCCCAAAACTTCTTACAATCGAAAAATATTTTCTGGCTTTAAATAACCTACAAAGAATTAATAAACCATAGCAAAAGATATTAATCAATTTCATCAAGGTATGTGATAGGAACATAATGAGAAGATGTAGGAAATGAATATTACTGACCAGTGGAGGGGTAGTATTTACTTGACTCCCACTAAGTCAAGATGTGACACAAGGTCGTTTAACGTGGGAGACCCGAGTGTTTCCACTCAAAGGCCACTGGTCAAAATTGGTCATAGCTTGTCCAAGCTGGTCAGAACCTAGTCAAAGCTGGTCATGACTTGTCCTAGCAAGTCCAAGCCGGAGCCAGTCCAAGCTAGTCAAAGCCTTGATTGAATCTCAGCCATAGGCCAAGAAACGATCCAATATTTGTCAAAAACCCCAGCCAAAAAATTGGCCGGGCGGATGAATATTACTGACCAGTGGAGGGGTGCAAGCATTGGGGTGCTGGGCAGTGCTTGGTGACCTTTATCAGCATTTGTCTTTTTTTATCTACATTTATATAGATTACAAATTAAACTAAGCACAACTTAACTAAGTATAATTAAAGAATGAAAAATTTTTCCAGACTTTGATGTCATTCTCCATTCATGTTTTTGTCCAAATCTGTGAATTTATTTTGCTCACAGTAAGTCTTGAAAAAAAAACTATATAAAATTCACTACTTTTTATCTATAAGGTTGAATGTTAAAATTATTCAACACATTTTAACAAGAAAAATCTCAAGTTGACGTTAAAAACTCTACCATGCTGGCAGTCATTTTCCCCTAATACCGTCTCTTTAATGTTTTGAAAGAGTTTCTTCCACAGGGTTGGAATTTCCAGGAATAGTTATCTTGTAAACACTTTTATGTGATTTGCCTCAGATCAGAAACATGACAGAGGGGGTTGTACAGAGGCTACTATTTGAACTCAGCATTTGAAAAGGAATTTTTTTCACCTCTCCAAAGTGATAGGAAATGACAGAGGGCTGGCTTTATATGGTCTGCACATTCGTGTATATACTTATAAACAGGCACAAGCAACTCTTTTTAAAAATATATCACCCCAAGCAAGGCAATAAAACCACTAAGATAGAAAGGGTGGTTAGAGAATATGAGAGAAAAACACTATTAAGCAGAAAGAAAAAAATAAAAGAATGAGTATTAAGAAGACAGAAGATAGCGATTGACACTGCATTAAAATTTTTGAAGATCGAAGTTGACTGGAAAGCTAGAAGCCAGAAGAGAATTTGAAAAGCAAGAAGTGTGAGAGAAGAAAATGATAGCATAGACCTTATGATTGCATGTAGCCCTTTTGACTGCAAAATGATGAGACCTAGCTGCCAATCTAGTACTGCACTTAAATTCATAAAGTCTAGGAAGCATAAAGGAAAGTTCATCAGAGCTGTTTATAGAAAAGGAACAAGGAAGCTACATTATGGAGACGGGAGAGGGATTGAAGCTGAGATGCCAGATCAAGACCCTTAACATTGCCGATTTTTCTTTGGATTTTATCACAAATCTCAAAATGCATAGCGGAAGCACCAGACCATATGTGGCAGTAATATTCAATATAATGACGTATTCGAAATTATATTTACACTTCATGTGAGCAGAAAACATTAGTCCAAAAAGACGTAATCAGTCATTACTCCGGAGGTTAGTATCTACAAGGAAGGTTCTGCCTCAGTATTGGAATCCTCGAGACCAGGTTTTTCTCATATCTTTAAGAGAAAGAGAGAACAGATACTTCACTTTGATCCAATCTTGAATGCTAGGGGAAGAAGTGCTGATCTTAAGCAGAAAGAAAGTGGCAATTTGATCCCAGTTTCACATCCTCACCAGTTACTTAACTGCTTTAATCACAAGGTGGACCTACGGACAGAAGAAACAAGCAACCTCCACCAGGATGACTTATTGGCGGTGGCTCTCAGAAGTTTAAGCATTGTCATGTCTGTTCAATCTTTCATGTTTTTTGACCAGCTTTTGTCTTGCCATCCGCCTTCAACAGTGCTTTGCCTGATGGTCATGCAGAGGCTGTTATGCCATGTGACATGGCCAAACCATAACATCTTCCAATGCTTAATAGTGGCAAGAAGAGATTTCTGCCAACCTACAAGACTTTTGATATTACTCTATGTATATTCATTGGTTTGGGGTTCCCAGTAGGGGATGTGGAGAAGCTTTCTTAAGCATTTGTTCTTGAATGCCTGAATCCATTTCCCTGCCTTGACCAGAAGTGTCCACGTCTAACAAACATAGAGGAAGATCGATACAACCAGCAATTTGTTGACCTTGAACTTGGTATGGAATCTGCTGTGCTCTTCCATATCCTTTATAGTCAGGCCATCACTGTGTTGCAGTTTTTTTGTGTATATTATGTACTAGTGAGCCAGTCCAAATGACTTGACTCATTTTATAGTCCACCAATGGAAGGTTAACCAATCAGAAGACGTAGACTATTCAGTCTGTCGTGTATAAAGGCAGCCATTTTGTTTACTCTATCCAAATGTCCAGTTCCAGCTTGTCAGGCGAAGAGGAACAGAAGGGGAGAACTACTGAACTACGCTCTGCTACTTTACCTACTTCCCTACTGTCTTCAAAATATTTCACTGCTAACCTTTGGATTCTATACTCAAAGACGACCGTCATCATGACCAACACACTGTGGTAGCTGTGACAGTCCATGTGCTGGTGTCTGTGTTGTAGGTTCCATTTTTAGACAGGGTTGCTCCAAGATATTTGAAGCTGGACACTTTCTCTCGTGTTTCACCATCCATAGTGACACTGACACTTGAAATGCTTGTACTATTCACCATTACTTTGGTTGGTTGGTTGGGTTTTATGGCATATCAACCACTGTAGGTCATTTAATGCCAAATTAAGTTTATATATATATATATATATATATATATATATATATATATATATATATATATATATACACACATATATACCTATATATATATATATTAAATATACAGTACTATTAAACGTATAGCTGGCAACATTATTGTTTCCAAAAAATGTATAGCTGGCAACATGATTTTTTCCAAAAAAATGTATAGCTGGCAACATTATTGTTTCCAAAAACGTATAGCTGGCAACATTATTGTTTCCAAAAACGTATAGCTGGCAACATTATTGTTTCCAAAAACGTATAGCTGGCAACATTATTGTTTCCAAAAACGTATAGCTGGCAACATTATTGTTTCCAAAAAACGTATAGCTGGCAACATTATTGTTTCCAAAAACGTATAGCTGGCAACATTATTGTTTCCAAAAAACGTATAGCTGGCAACATTATTGTTTCCAAAAAACGTATAGCTGGCAACATTATTGTTTCCAAAAACGTATAGCTGGCAACATTATTGTTTCCAAAAACGTAAAAACGTAGCTGGCAACATTATTGTTTCCAAAAACGTATAGCTGGCAACATTATTGTTTCCAAAAAACGTATAGCTGGCAACATTATTGTTTCCAAAAAACGTATAGCTGGCAACATTATTTTCCCGAAAACATTATCTGAGGCCTTGCCATTGGACGTAGATGTAGTTTATCGTCATACCCAGGACGCGGATGTAGTTTATCGTCATACCCAGGACGCCCATTACTTTGGGATTCTCTGTTGAGTTTCATTCCATATTTACTGGCTTTTTCAAAGAGTATTCCAGATTCTACACTGATCTTAAGCAGAGATAATCACTTTAATCCTAAGTAGAACACAGTGATATTCTTATCCAAAGCTGATCTACTAATCAATGTATAAATAATTCTATTTTTTATAGGTATCCTGCTAATAATGACCAATATCATGTCATCATGTCAGGAGTTCTCTAACCCAGGGTTTTTCAAACTGTGGGTCATGAACCTTCAGTGGGTCGCGAGATAAATAAAATGGGTCGTAATAAAAAAAGAAAGAAAAAATTGGCAAATGAGAGCAAAGTGCAGATTAGAAACAACTCTAAAAGTTGCACAGCTCTCATAAATCATCGCTAGTTTTTTCACCAAGGTAAGCTCATATTATATTTTTTTTTCAGGAGTGTTGTCATTGGTCAATCTCCTTAATCTCACCATATGACTTACCCAACTCCAAGACTTGGTATTCCTCTAGCAATCACACATTTGAATACTGACCAGGCTTAACATTGTTTAACTTCAGTGATCGGACAGGAACTTGTATTTCAACATAAGATGGCTGCCATCTTGGTAAATTTTTTTCACTTTCAGTGTCGAATTGAGTTTTAGGAAAAGCTAGACATCACAGTGAACTAAATCTGGATGTTAACAGGGTTGACAGAGCTGGGTGATACAATGTCTTGTCAAAACACTTACAGGAAATATCAATATATTTGTGACACTGACACACAACACTCAATATTTTTTTTCTTTTCTGACTGAATAACCTCACAAGAGAGTATCTGTTTGCACATGAGCAGTAAGATCAACTCTGTACATCCAGCTCTTTGCCGATTCTGCTTTCCATTTCAGATAATCATTAAATTGCATCATTAAATGTCAAGAGGATAGAGCCCAGGGAAAAATGTATTCATGCCTTAATTATTACTAAGTAAGCACTAATAGATGCAAACAAAAGTTTCAATGCTGTTTGCAAATTCTGTTTTCTCTGCTGATAAACATTACATTATTTTGTATTATTAATTATAGCAGGAGGCATTGTGGAGTAGTGGATAGTGGCTCGGATTGAGGAATCGGAGAGCCGAGTTCAAATTCCAGTTGAATCCATTACATTCACTTACGTGCTAATACTGTTGGAAAAGTTATGAATCCTCTTCTTCCCCCCACCAGCTATGGGTAAATGGCAGGGCAGACTGGGTTCTATAGCATTGGATGGCAACTGGTCTACTGCAGAAAGAAATGGCAACCTACTGCAGGAAAAAATCTGCCTTGTCAGTCACATATCAAAAGATACATGATCGCCTAAGCATGTATCATGCATGGCACATAACTAACAGAATATAGCAAAATGATGGAGCAGAGTGAGAAGTGGTTTCATGCCTTTCATAAGGGTATTAGTGCTATGTGTGCATAAGGAGCCAAAGTAAAATTTAAACTCTGTCATTTCTGTTTTGTGTACAGCTAATTCTTACTTTACATTTTTTAATGTGAAAAGAACAGTGCACAGGGAAAAATGTATTCATGCCTTTCCTAAGGGTGATAAGTGAATATAAGCAGCCTAAGCTAAAATTTGAACTTGATTTGTCCATTCCAACTGTTGGTTTGTTAATATTACATTTTTTTTTTTTTAATCGGAATCACCCCAAGTAAGGCAGTAAAGCCACTAAGATACAAGAGGTTACAGGGTGTGAAAGAATTAGAAACAGAAACATTAATGATGAGCAGAAAGAGAAGAGAGTAATCAGGAGGACAATAGATAGCGATTGACATTACATTCAAATTTTTGCAGATTAAAGTTGGCTGGAAAGCATGAAGGCAGAAGAGAATTCCACAAGTGAGAAGTGCGAGAAAAAAAACGTTAGCATAGAATTTACAGTTGCATCTAGCCGGCTCAACAGTAAATTGATGAGATCTCAACCCCAGTCTAGTGCTGCACTTAAATTCAAAATCTCTAGGTACCATAGTAAAGAGCTTATCCAAACAATTACCATGAAATGTATTTAAAGAAAAGACATAGATAAGCAACCTTTCGGCAGTGAGAAAGTGACTGCAGCCAAGCTGCCAAGTCAAGACCAATAATAATGCAGATTCTTTCTTGGATCTTAGCAAAGAGCTCATGGTAAATAGAAGAGGCACTGGACCATATATGGCAGCAATATTCTAAGCATGAATGAATGGTAGACATTGATATGTAAAATAGATTCTGGGATATATAAGATAGATACATTACTTTGTATCTTTTAATGGGAAGAGAATAAAATCCAGGGAGAAGTGCATTCATGCCTGTCATAGACGAATTAGTGTTAAATGAATATAATCTGCCTCTGCTGAAATTTGAACTCTGTTTACAAATTTTGTTTTCTGTAATGATAGCCTTGTTGTTACTTTGCATTGTTAAATGAGAAGAAAATAGAACCTAGGGAGAAGGGGGTTTATGCCTTTGCTAAGGGTATTAGTGCCAAGTGTATCTAAATCCCATCAAAATTCAATTTCTATCAATTCTATTTTCCATACAGAAAATTGCTATATTAGTTACATCTCTAAATGAGAAGAGGATAGACCACAGGGAATAGTGGATTCATGCCTATCTTAAAACTAAAAAGTATTAGTTCTAAATGGATATAAATAGTGTTAGCAAAAATTGAAACTGCTATCTCTAAATGGGAAGAGGTAGAGCACAGGGAAAAATGAATTCATGCCTATCATAGAAGTGGATATAAACAGTGTGAGCAAAAATTCAAACTGCTATGTTAGTTCAATTTCTAAATGACAAGAGGATAAAGCACAGGGAGAAGTAGATTCATGCCTATCATACAGATATTAGTTCTAAGTGGATGTAAACTATGAGCGAAAATTCAAACTTTTAGTTCAGTTTCTAAATGAGAAGAGGGTAGAGCACAGGGAGAAGTGGTTTCATGCCTATCTTAAATGTATTATTTCTAGCTGGATATAAACAGTGTGAGCAAAATTGGAGTTATTTTGGATGTTATTTTCAGTTTCTAAATGGGAAGAGAATAAAGCACAGGGAGAAGTAGATTCATGCCTATCATAAAGGTATTAATTCTAAGTGGATATAAACAGTGTGGGCAAAAATTTGAACTCATTTTTTTTATTCTATTTTTCGATAACCATTACACTAAATCACACCTCGAAACAAAACAAAGAAGGTTAGAAAGTGCACTGGTCTATACAACAAAGATAATGATACTCGTCTGAATAATTAATGGACTGACACCTCATTTCAGACCGTCAGCCAACACTGAGGGACATGTGGGATAGTGGATACCTCTAAACATGGGAAGTGACGCTGGGTGGGGTTTGTCTTGTGGGTGATATACAAGGGTGGGGGTTTGATAGAGGTTAGAATAATAGAGCCAGATGAGGTACGATAAAAATGACGATAAGGTTGGCAGGTGTTCTGGAGATTGTTTGAGAAGATGGGGCGATGCCAAGACGTGGTTTAATCTTCACAGACTCAATTTCCTTCACCTGTCACCATCCTCCCCGTCAGCGTGGGTGGAGGTGGCGGATAATTGACAGGCAAGAAAAATACGAGAAATGTCCAACAAAAACAATGGCCATCAAGATAATGATGATAATGATGGCGATGTGGAAGGGAGAGAAGCTGAGTGAGCGGAGCATCAGTTTCTGATGAGCATTGTAACAAATCCGATTATAGAAATATCGTTTCAAGTTGCAAGGAACACTGACTGAGAACAAGAAAAAAATATGGCAGTTTCAATTTCTGTGATGTAGAATTATCATTATTGACATTATTGACATTCAGACTAATATCCTCATCTTCATTATTATTAACCATGTTTCAGTCATTGCATCCATCAGCCTTCTTCAGGCTTCTGCTGAGCCAGGGAAGCTTCTGGGAATTTCAAGCTTAACCCTTTATTTAAACTACGGACACAGAATGTTCTTCCACCATCTTCGTTTCTTCCACATCTCTTGGTTTCTTTTGGATTTAATTAATTTATTTATCGTGACATCTATCAGAGAGATAAAATTTTAATTTTTATTATTGCATTATTCCAAAATTTTAACACATTAGCAGATACCTATTAATGTCAACAACTAAGTACAAATAGTTATTAATTAAAAAATTTAGTAATTAATGTATAATATAATATATATATATAATGTAAAATAAAATATATATCTTATTATGAAACGCAGATTGTGTGTGTGTGTGTGTAACGTTTATATATTGGATCGGATTTCCTACATTTTTCAACCAATTTCAACAAAACTTCACAGGACTACATAAAATTATCTTGTGGTGGTTCTAACAGCGCCAAAATTGGGAAAAATATAATTGTTTTTGCACAAAATCAATTTGAAAACATGATTAAGAGACATCGTGAGAATGGAAGGGGGACAACTCACATCGGGTTAAAAAAAAACAGGTTGTTTGTGTGTGTGTGTGTGTTTCTTTATATATGGGATCAGATTTCCTACATTTTTCAGCCGATAAAACAAAAATTCACTTTTTCTTTGGCAGGTAGTGTTTCTTATTCTCTTGCACACTTTTTTCTTTATTTTTACATTCAGAATGCTTTAAAAATTCCATTTACAAGACAATTGTTTATAATAAAATTCTATTCAATTGGTAGACTCATAACGATTGAAAACAATGTTTTTGTTTGAGTTTGGGCTTGACCAATTCGTAAAAAAACAAAAAAAAAAAACTAATTAAGACATGCGTGTCCGTCAACCTTAAACAATAATCTTTGTCAATTTTATTTTTCAGTCTTTATGATGGTGGATACTTGATCTATCTCTTACTGTTATATCCCCGGGCAATGCCGGGCTCTACTGCTAGTTAATTCTAAGAATATACATGCCATCATTCCACGGAGAGGCAATCCCATTGGTAATCAAGCCCTGAACTATTTTATCTTCTATGCGAAAAAAAAGGCTCATAAAATATTCCATAATAGAAGAGCAGGTGGTTGGAAAGTCAGTCAAAACATGTGGAAGACACAAAGTGCCATAATTCAAAATCTGGGAAGGAAAAAATAAGTAATATATATATATATATATATATATATATATATATATAAAAGGGAAAATCTCAATGCATCATTAAAGATTTCGCTACTAATTTATTTCAGACAGACAACTGCCTCATTAGACCGGAGTTATAAAATGGTTTAAATCATCCAGATAATTAATTGAAAATTACAAGAGGAAGTGAATAAAAGATTTGACCTAGAAAAATTCTTGAAGAGATAAGAGGAAATGAGAAACAAAAACGAAAGTGTCAGCCA